AAATAGCAACATCAATAAAGATATAGAAAACCTAGTAAGAAACAAAAATTCTGTCTTATACTATATACAAGAATAAACTCAAAATGGATTAAAGACTTAAATTTAAGACCCGAAACCATAAATATTCTAGAAGAAAAGATAGGCAGTAAACTCTCTGATATTGCTCTAGTAATATTTTTTCTGATATATTTTCTCAAGGAAGGGAAACAAAAGAAAAAATAAACAAATGGAACTATACAGCAAAGGAAACTATTAACGAAATGAAAAGCAACCTACTAAATGGGAGAATATATCTGCCAATGATACCCATGATAAGGGTTTAATACCCAAAATTTATTAAGAACTCATATAACTCAACATCAAAAAAAAAAAAAATCCAATTAAAAAATGGGCAGAGGACCCGAACAGACATTTCTCCAGAGACATATGAAAAGATGCTCAAAGTCACTAATCATCAGAAAAATGCAAATTAAAACCACAATAAGACATTACCTCACACCTGTCAGAATGGCTATCATCAATAAGTCAAAAACAAGTGCTGGCAAGGATGTGGAGAAAAGGGAACCCTTGTGCACTGTTGGTTGGATTACAAATTAGAGCAGCCGCTATGGAAAACAGTTTGGAGGGTCCACAAAAAGTTAAAAATAGAACTACCTTAGGACCCAGCAATTCCACTGCTAGGTATTTATCCAAAAAATCCAAAATACTAATTTGAAAGATATATGCACTCCTATATTCACTGTAGCGCTATTGACAATTGCCAAGATATGGAAGCAACCTAAGTTTCCATCAGTAGACAATTGGATAAAGAAAATGTGGCATTTATATACAATGAACTATTACTCAGCCATTAAAAAAAATAATAAAATCTTACCATTTGTGGCAACATTGATGGACCTAGAGGGTATTATGCTAAGGGAAGTAAGACAGAGAAAGAAAATACCACATGATCACTAATATGTGAAATCTTAAGAACGAAATAAACAAAACAGACTCATAGATAACGGAGAACAAACTGATGGTTGCCAGATGGGAACGGGGTTGGGGTGCTGGGCAAAAACGTTAAAGGCATTTATAAGTACAAATGGGTAGTTACAAAATAATCACGGGGATGTGAAGTACAGCATAGGGAATATAGTCAATAATATTGTAATAACTATGTATAGTGCCAGGTGGGTACTAATCAGGGGAGATTACTCTGTAAATTATCTAAATGTCTAACCACTATGCCGTATACCTGAAACTAATATAAAATACTACTACATGTCAACTATAATTGAAAAAATTTTTTAATTATTCAGGTTATAATTATTTTAAAAATGTATCCTTTTTATTTGCTTAAGGCACAAGCAGCATCTCAAGAAAACAGAGCAGTTAAGAGAAAAAAATAATGCTTCAATCAGAAGTCAAGTGGAACTCAGAATTAAAGATCTAGAACCTGAACTCTCCAAATGGAAACTTCTCAAGGAGATTCTAATAAGCTAAAATTGGAAAAATATAAGCAACTCTACCTAGAGGAATTAAAAGTTAGAAAATCACTGGCAAATAAACTAAACAAGGCTAATGAAAGGCTAGCAGAGACCAGTATCAAACTTCTTGTGAAGAGCAGAACAGATCTTTACCCAGCACCCTAATTATGAGGTGGATCCTGGAGCCTTGTGTTGGAAATCTTGGTAAGAGGTCAGTATTCAAGAGAAACCTTGCTCCAAGAGAAAACTTGGTGATTCCTACCTCAACTGCAGACTTCAAATAAAAGCATGGAGACTTAACTGACCAAGATGCAGCAGGATAGATAAAGAATATAATTCTTTCTAGAACTGAAAAGCTGCTGCTGAATTTGAATCTGAATCTTACAGACCTCCTCTAGGATCTATTGATGAGTCATGTTTATATCAAGATCTAGCTTTGAAAACATCACAAGAATATGTACAAACTGGTAGTTACAAATAGTCACAGGGATGTAAAGTACAGCAAAGGAAATATAGTCAATAATATGGTAATAACTATGCATAGTGCCAGGTGGGTACTAGACTTAGGGGGGGGGGATGACTTCGTAAATTATATAAATGTCTAACCACTATGCTGTACACCTGAAACCAATATTGAATGTCAACTCTTAATTGAAAAAAAAAAAACAGAAATATACAGATTTTGAAGAAAAATTATATTATCCGAAATATAAATAGTAAAAATTTATTTACTGAACTATTTATATAACATTTTAATTGTCTCCCATTAAACAAATGACATGCGAAAATCTTCATTAAGGGAAAATATTTTAGTATCAAAAAAGGAAATTCTGAAGCTGAGAAGTTCAATAACAAATAAAAAATTCACTGAAGGGATTCAAAAAGAGATTTCATCAGGTGGAGGAATGATTTAGTGAACATGAAGATAGAGCAATGTAAATTATTGAGGCTGAGTAACAGAAAGAAAAAAGATTGAAGAAAAGTGAGCAGAGCCTAAGGGACCTGTGGACACAACACCATCAAGGGGACCAACATATGCATTGTGGGAGTCCCAGAAGGAGAAGAGAGACAGAAAGGGGCAGAGAATATTAGAAAAAATAATGGTTGAAAACTTCCCTAATTTAATAAAAGACATAAACACCCAAGCAGCTCAACAAACTCCAAGTAAGACTGGAGTATTCAACCAAGTAAGATTCATCCAACTAAGATGAATTCAAAGAGATCCACATTTAGATACATTATAATCACACTTCCAAAAGCCAGACAGAGAATCTTGAAAGAGAAAATGAGAAAAGAATCATTACATACAAAGGATCCTCAATAAGTGGGAATGTAAAATGGTACAGTTGTTGTGGAAAACAATATGGTGGTTCCTGAAAAAATTAAAAATAGAATTACCAAATGATCCAGCAATTCCACTTCTGGAGATAGATTTAAAAGAATTGAAAACAGTCTTGAAGAGACAGTTGTGCACCATGTGTATGGTAGCATTATTCACAATAGCCAAAACGCGGATGCAAACCAAGTTTCCATCGATGGATGAATGGATACACAAAATGTGGTATATACATACAATAGAATATTATTGAGCTTTAAAAAGGAAATTCTGACACATGCTACAATATGAATGAACCCTGAAGGCATTGTGCTAAGGGAAATAAACTAGTCACAAAAAGGGAAATATTGTATAATTCCAATTATATGAGGTATTTGGAGTAGTCAAAATCATAAAGACAGAAAGTAGAAGGGTGGTTTCCAGGGGATGGGGGCAGAGGGAATGGAGAATTGTTTAATAGGTAAAGTTTCAGATTTACAAGATGAAAAGAGTTATGGGGATGGATAGTGGTTGCATAACTGTCAATGTATTTAATACCATTGAATTGTACACTTAAAAATAGTTAAGATGGCAATTGTTATGTCACATGTATTTTACCACGACACACAAAAAAAGGAAAAGAAATTCCTGAAGAATTCCAAATGTTTGGAATGTTTAGCCTCCCATGATAAATTAAAGAACATCTTATGAAGAATTGGTAACACACCTGCTTAACAACTGACTCTGAAAGCTTTGTGTACATAACAGAAGAAAGTCAATGCATACAAAGATGGCACTAAAGCCTCATTGCCTGTTTTAGTGAGCACAAAGTAAACCTTGGCAGGCATCTTGGTGCAAAGTCACAGCTGATACATGATTGCTACAGTGGGGAAAACCACTTGCAAGCATTTCTCAGGAATAGCCATTTGCTGGTGACAAGCTTATGATAAACTATGATGCAATTATTTGAAGAAAATGTTCTGTCATGCTTCCAGTATTGTTTTTAACAATAAAGTACAATACCACAAACTAAAAAAGTTAAAGTCAACATCACACTAAGTCACATTATTTCCCTTTCTACTTGGTTTTGAAATTCAACTTCCCCTTTATGTTAAAAACACGTATTTAAATGTCTTCCTTTGAAGAGGTGACTAGCAAATGGAACAATTTACTCTGTGGCTTTAGTAGAGACCTTAAACTCCTCCAGGTGGCCTCGCATGCACAGGACAGAAGCTGGTGACAGGAAGATATAAGAGCCCTGCCACACAAAATGTGGTCCCTGGGTCAGCAGCAACTGCACAGCCGAGGATCTCCTCAGACTCCTGGACCCCACCCCAGAACTCTTGAATCAGAATCTACATCTGAACAAGATCTCCAGGCAATTGGTGTGCGTATTAAGGCTTAGGAAGCACTTATAATAGTGTAACATGATAGCCCATGTCCCTCTGGCTGCTTAGTACAACAATGAAAGCAATGGTGAGTGAGCATGACGCTTGTGACTAGGAGAAAGAAGACTTAGGTTCTAGTCTCAGACTTATCACTGAACATCCACTTTGTTTCCCACCTATTTCATACTACCAGACCTGCCTACTTCTCAGGACTGCTGTGAGGACCGAAAGGGATGCTTCCTAACAAAGCCATAAGTGAGCTGGGCCTGGCCTGTCAGACCTTATCCTGCACCATTTTCCATGTTGCACATTGCATTCTAGCCACACTGACAGCAGGCAGAGCTTGTTTCTACTGCAGGGCTTTGCGCGAGGTGCCTTTTCTGCATGGAATGCTCTTCCTTTAAGTTCTGTGTCTGGCTCCTTCTGATTATTCAGATCTCAGCCTAATACTGTGAGATTCATTGTACTCAGTGAGAACCTCTCAGACTACCCAATCTAGTTACTCTCCAGTGAGTCACCTTGTGTGAATTCTCTTCATGGCACTTATCAGCATGTGAGCAGGGACAGTTACTATATTATCCTAGGCTGGAGCTTCAGTGCCTTGAACTGTCTCTGTCACTGAATGCTCAGTACACATCTGTTAAATGAATAGCTAAAGAAGGTAAAAACACTCTGGAAAAAATAAGGTACTATATGAAATATAAAATGCGTATAACCTTCCTTGCTTTTACCTAGTGATTTCTCCTAGAAATGACAGCAATGTTACAGCGATTACTCTAAGAGCCTATATCATGTAAATGAAAATCTCCTTTTCATTAAATAAGAAAAGACTGGAACAAAGGCTGTTTTTTATTATGTTTCAAAGAAAGACGATTCATTCATTGTTCGCATCCCTCCTTCACATATCATGGTGATAGTCTCCATTCACATTAGTTTAATTTCATCCATTTTCCTTGAGAAATGTGAAGAGCTTAAAAAAGAAAAGCTGCCACTAAGGTCATAATATAAGATATTAATGTTGCTCTGCTAACAGAGCCTTGGCCAAGGATGGCCAGATGGTCTGCAGGCTGGCTTGGCGAAGCTGCCTGAGACACAGGGAGGCTGCAGGTCACCAGCAGGGAGAACATACTGCATTAGACTACAAACTGAGAACTGTCCGACGTTTCTTTTTCCACAAAACCAAAACTTAATAATGGATATTGGTTTGGTTGTGACTCTTAGTTAAGAATGACAGAAACTGGTCTTAAATTCCACGTTAGAGGTTCCAAAAAGTCAGTTTACACAATTTTAGTGACATATCAGAAGACGACCACAGTTGTTTTCTTTAATCTATTTACACTCTTCCTACTAGGAAGGTTAAATGGATTCTCCTACCAGTATCAGGTCAGGGCTAACTATGGTCCCCTAATAGTGATGCCTTTTTAGGAACAACCTTTGCCTCATTTTCCTTAGTCAAAAACATACCACGAAGGGAAAAGGTGCACAAAGTGCGAGTCTCCATGAACTTGCCCAGTGTGCAGAATCAACAGAGCAATGGCCCCATCTGCTGATTCTGGCTAAAATGGCAAAAAAGTTCAGATATGCAGCAAGTTAGGGATCCTGCCATGAGCACCTCTCTTAGTGCCCAAGTGATCCACAGCACTGTTGAGAAAAGTCTGTCTTTAGGCACAAAGTGATATGAGGAGTGTATAAATATTTTCTCTAACGTTCCATGTCTTCGTTCTTGCTTATTTATTTTTGGTTTTAAATTAGCTGTACTGCTCCAGAAGCGACCAGGGGTGCAATGGTTTTATATCGGATCAAGTGCTGTGAGCCTTCCTCTAAGTCAATCACATAGTCCCTGAAAAGGAAGAAGAAAACATATCTGCAGAGCTTAGCTGGTGCTCTATCCGGAGGAATTATTTCTCACTGTCAAAGACACATACGTCACTCACCTCTGTTCGTCTGTTTCTGGTTCTACCATTATGTTTTCTTGTCGTTCTTTCACTCTTAGAAACACATATGAATCTAGATCCGGTTTGGGAACTGCCAGAAAAACAATAATATAATCAGAAAATGCTCAGTTAATGAGATCAATATGGGAAAGGTCACTATAATTAATGATACTGAGTATTGAGGGACCTGATGTAAAAGCATTTTGGGAGTAGGGTGATTTGAGGAGAGATCTGGCTCCTCCTAGAAACAGCATGCTTCCTACCCAAGGTTTCACACAGCAACCACTCTTTCAACAAATGATGGGTATTTCAGACATGCGGGGAATTCTGCTACACACTGTGGAGGATACAAACAGAACACATGGTCTCTGGTAACAACGGCATTTGATGAAGCCTTACCTGAGTGGCACATTCATTCAATGATGTGGGGAGAAAGAAGTTGATGTAAGCTTTAAAGAAAAGGGTAGGACTTAAAGAGAAAAGAGTGAACCTGGGAGGTAATGGCAAGGGCCACATAAAATATGCATGACATTTTGGGAGGACAGAGTATATAAATCTGGTTAGATATTTTTATATAAAGGAGTAGGAGAAGAAAGTACAGTAAGTTCTCACTTAATGTTGTTGATAAATGCTGCGATTTTAAGTGAAATGGTGTATAACTAAACCAATTTTAACATACGCTAATTGATGTAAACAAGAGTTAAGGTCCTTTGGCAGCTCATCAATGTTATAATGAAAAAATGCTGAACAAAACCATGTTATTCAAGGACCTGCTGTATTAGAAAGATCGGATCCTATGGTAATAGTCTTGAGTGTTGGACTAAGGAAAACAGGTTTTACCTGTAAGTCCCTCACTCATCAGCCCCAGATTAAATAGCTACTGCCATCCCTCCTCTTCTACCACCGGCCAACACTTCGAGTGCTCTAAGCTGGGCTGCTCCTCGATAGCTCTTCACTTCCTGGCGCTCCACTTGTACCTGGAGGACTCTATCAACTGCAGGGTCCAAAGAACCTACTGGATAACTCTCAGTTCTAAGAGCCCAGCTCAGATTTCATTTTGCCCTTGATTCCCTCATCTGTAGGAGCGGGTTCTGGATAACTGGTTCCGAAGGTCTAAGGAGGGTCCCTAGGTTGCTTCAGGGTTTTGGGCCTCTCAAAGGGACTCTAACTTCAGGGTCAATTGACTCCACTGGACAAGTACTGATCCCAGGAAACTCAGCTTAGATTTCAACATGCCTCCCCGACCCTGCCATTGGGTCTACAGGGCTGCAGAGGTCAGAAGGGTATTCACACATTTGGACTAAGCAAGACTCAGATTTCACCAGGGCGGGCTCATCTTCCCCTCCTCAAAACATTCCTCCCCCAGCAGCTTCCAATTCCAGGAGCCTGGATCTAGTCCTTGAAAGGGATCCAGGACAAGAGATATGTGAGTGTTTTAGGAGGTATCCACCAATGTTTAGGAACTCTGGAACAATGGCTTAGATCTAGTTTCAGGAATTCGGATGCATGCCCATCAGTGGTTCTGTGAGTGCTTTAATCAACTGGATGCAATAGCAGTGGACAATGATTAGGCATATGGTCCTTGCTCCGCTCCTAAGATACAGACAAAACTGGCAGAACTGGACATGGATTGGGCCTTCTGTTTCCATCAGGAAGGTTCACCAAGATGACTAATTCAGTGTTCCACAAATCTGGTATGGGTCTGGCTTGCTCCTGGTGTTATAGGCTTCACTGTGTCCTACCCCCCGTCCCCCAGATTCATATGCTGAAGCCCTAACTCCTAGTATTTCAGAATGTATTTGGAAACAGGACCTTTACAAAGGTAATTAAGTTAAAATGAGGTTATTAAGGTAGGGGTTAATCTAATCTGACTGGTGTCCTTACAAGAAAAGATACTGAGGGGCTTGTGTGCAGAGGGACAACCGTGTGAAAAGGCAGCAAGAGAGTAGCCATCTGCAAGCCAAGGAGAGGCCCTGGAGGAAACCAACCCTGCCAGCACCTTGATCACAGACTTCTGTCCTCCAGATCTGTGGAAAAACAAATGTCTGTTGTTTGAGCCCCCTAGCATATAGTAGTTTGTTAGGGCAGCCTGAGCTGACTAAGACCCCTGGTGAACCATGCCTCCACCATCCTGTTCTAGTTCTTCCACCTGTCACATGGGTCACAGTGTAGACACTAGCACAGGCTGTGGGGAAAAATGAACTCTCAGGGTTCAGTTGTACTTTAACTTGTGACTTCAGCACACTAAGCTTAGCTTGTGAACAAGGTGGATTCCAGTCCCCGGAGCATTGTTGGAATTGGTCTGGCAATTCTGTCTGATAAGGTCCTGCTTAGATATGGCAAGCTATGAAAGATTGAGGCATATGGACTTTAACTTACATGCTAGGGGTCCCCAGTTAGTGGATCCAAGGTTAGGAGTTACTACCATAACTCTTCTCTCCTCTCAGCTCAGCAGAATTATAAGGGGACTCTGGGAGGAGGGTGAGAGGTGGAAGGACTGGCCATGCTTCTCTTCTCTCACCCGCCTTCTCTTTCAATCCCAAACACTCTCAGTCCTGCTCCCCCTTTTCCATAATGAGAGAAACGTCTCACAACAAAAAAGTGAGGAGCCATTACTATTTGTTACGAGGAATCACTGAAGGTTTCCATAGCCTCCTATTCAAGTCCTTCTTGGTAGCTAGATAGTCCCTGCTCAGTCTGGAATCTGTGAAGAAAAGACTGCTGGCTCCTTGAGCACAGAGACTAGCGAGAGGAGCCTGGCACTGTGCAGATGCCCTGTAGATAGCAGCTGAAAGAATGAACGACTGAATACAGGAATAAGTCTAATATACCATGGCAGTCACAAGAATTTCAGCCAGACCTGAAGAATCCATGGCTATCTTTGTACCTGCTTTTAATAATTTTTTGTTTTTAATTCCTCTCTTTTCCTTTCTGCTTATCTACATGCTTATATTTCCATGTTTGAGAGGAAACGAGTAAAGAAAAAGATCTTTTCTAAAGCACCTGAAGAAAGTTGGATGTAAACTACAGCCCTTTGGGATGTCTGAAAAAAGAATGCTTACCTGATCTCAAGAGGTCCACCTTCTGTAAATTAGGAGGCATATGCCTTAAGGCAACATTCTTTAGGTAGGTCTCTGTGTTAGCCATGTACCTGAAATATCCAAATTCAAATCACTGTAACAACATGGCTGGTAGGGGCCATCAGGATTATCACACAGACAACACTGGCTCTGAGATTGGCTTCATGAACCACCAAAGCTCATGCTCGTGAGCCAGGGAATGGAAGGCAGTTCCCACACTTACTGCTTACTCACTCTTTGGCAAAGGCAAACTCTTCTGGAGAAAGGCTAGAAGGCTCCCCCTCATGGCGTGTTTTCTCCTTTTCAAGGATATGAGGGAAAAACTTCTCTATCTGTGAGGATATATAAAAATCACAATGAAATCATCTGTCAAGAGTCAAATGTCAAACATAATAGTTTTCTGAAAACTATTGAGGTTGAGGTTAATATAGCAATTGACTTCAAAAATGGCAAGTCTTCGTGGTCAAGACTATTTTTAATAATAACCTTCTTCAAGAAGGCAAGTTTCAAAGAATTCAGGGGAAAGATAAGGGCTCTAAAAAGGAAGTCAGTTTAAAAAGGATGAGGCATTCATAAAAAATAATCTAAAAATACAATTGTAAATGATATTTAAGAGGAAGAGAAGGGACTATTATTTAATACATTTATGTAACTGTACAGAGTGTTTTTCTATGAGATGAAACATAAAAAAGCTGGAAAGATGCATACAGAATACAGAAGCAGACAGAATAGTGACATTTAATTATATGAATGTAACTAGCAAGGATAAAGTCCACAATGAGATGAGGCTTAGAAAAATGCTAAGAATTATCAGGGGGGAAAAAAAAGCAACAAAAAGGCATGTGGTCTAGTACCTGGAAGGGATCGCTCTGTTGTTTGAAGTCAAGGGCTATGGTTATCTCTGTCAAGGAAATGCTCCTTGTAAGCAGGGAAATGACAATGGTAAGAAGGAACTGAAGGCCAAGATAAAGGAACACTCAACTATTTAAAGGAGTTTGTCTTCTGGCTTGGATCAATAATGTTCCAGATAAATTAAATTAAATTAACATTTGTATGGAGTTTAAGTGTATGAAGCACTTTCTCCTGCTATATGTAAATTGCTGCTACTACTACTACTACTACTATATCATTTAGTGTACTAAAAATATATGTAGTTTCATAATCTCAGAAAAATTAGCTAAAAAGAGGTGTGAAAGATTAGGGATAGGCAAATTTCCCAATTTTCAAAAATATACAAAGTGGGAAATTCTATACAGATTAGTATTCTTAACACTGAATAGTGTTAAGATAATTTAAAAGACAGTTTGTGAACTCAAAGAAAAGTAAATGGTTAATATGAAGAGGATTTACCCAAACAACAACAAAAAAGTGTGTGGCTAATAGTCGAGGGTGGGTTGAAAGGCATATTGTTTGTTTCAATACAATATGTTTTCCAAAATATTGGTAGTGTCTTTATAACACCTTTGTGGTCAAACCGTAAACCTGGAGTTGGGTGATAATATAGACTGGGTGACTCATAAACAGTTGAAAAAAGAATACTGATTTGATGGACAGATGTCAATCCATAGGGAAGTCTCTGGTAGAATATTCAATTATTGGCCTAGTCTTATTAACAAGTCAGATAAGACTTTCGATGATGACATACTTGTCAAACTTGCTGATGACATAAAGTGTTAGGAGATAGCTAATATGTTAGATAACAAGATCAGGAGCCAGAGACCAGGGAAACAGCTCAATTTAATAAAATGAAGTTTAAGAGGGGTAAGTATCAGGTCCTACACATAGGGCCTAAAACCCAGCCATATATATACAGGATGGTGAGAGGATGGGGTAATGGTAACTTAAATACTTCAGGTAAAGTTACATTAACAGTGAGGGCAGAATGAGTTAGTGTGAGGTCTCTGTCAGATACACTAATGTGATACTAGGTGGCATTACTACTATTTTAATATCTAGAATAAGAGAGGTGATCATCCTGTTATTCACAAACATGACCAGACCACAACTGGAATATTGTACTGGGTTGAGGTGGTATAACTGAAGAAGGATACTGATAAACTAGAATCTTTGTAGGGAGGAGACCAGGAGAGTAAATGGAAATAAATGGTTGAAATGTTTAGCTGAGAGGACTTCAATGAGATTCATGAGCTGTCTTCAGATATTCAGATATGAGAATTCACATAGAAGATTATATTTGTTTTGTAATAACTAAGGGGACAAGTGGAGTCAAATGAGAAGAAACTTCAAGGAAGTAAGAACTTTCTGGGGTTAAAAGAGATATCATACAAAATAAGAATGCTTGCAATTTCATTTTTATAAGTTAGATAGATGGCCACAGAGCTACAGCTGAATGTCAAGTCAGCACTGCCATGCTGTAACTCCAGGGGGCACCATTCAAGTAGCAAATAGACAAAAAATGTGTTCCCAGAGGTGTGCAACACACGTTCCATCTATGCTTCTCCAGAACAATCTCTCGCACTCCTTACTCTTTAGCTACCCTGATACTGGGCCTTCGTAGCATCTTCAGGCCCTGGACCCTCCCAGGCCCCAGCCCAGTTTCTCCCCAAGACGCTCGTACTATATTACAGACTGCACTGCCTTAATGCCATGTCAAACCTTCATGAGCCGACACCGCAAGTAGCTGCTCAGGACATAGCGGATCCTCTCCATCTCCATTCGATGGATACTGACCTTCAGGTCCCCCTTCTTTGCTCTCCTGAGATTTTCTTCCTATTAAAAGAGAAAATGAGGTTTATAAAAAGCATGATATTCAAAGACTAAGAACCTTTTTTGCGTAATCTGTACATAGCCAAAAAGGACCATCATCACTGGCAATACTCAGGACGCAAACACTACATTTACGTCAAAGGAGAACAAAATACTCATTATATGAGTTCTCGTTTTCCTTTAATTTCATAATTACACAAATATATGACTACAGTCTCATTATAAAAAGTTCAAACAAAACTCATTTATAGGCATACCTCGAATATGTTGCGGGTTTTGTTCCAGACCACCACAAGTAAGAGAATAGTAACCTTTTTGGTGGTGGAGGGTCTTGCCTTCAATTTCTAAAAAAACGCAACATCTGTGAAGCACAATAAATTAAAGCGTAATAAAAGGAAGTATGCCTGTACTTTTAGAAAATGACCATTTAAACAGAATCTGAATATGATTGGTCAGAAGGGCCTAGAAGAACTCCAAGCCAATTATAAAGGAGATAATACAGCAGACAGAAATGTCTAAAGGGTTTAAAAAGTAGTATTAAATCACCAGTTGAGAAACTGTCAAATATCAATGTTTTAAAGCTACTCTGAGGCTGATAATGACTAAGACCCAGCTCATCTAAGACAGGGCCCCAAAACTCAAATGTCTATAGGGGCCCAGCAGGTAAGATACATTAGAAAGGTGGGTAGTTAGGGACTGTAGGGAACTGGAAAGTACATTGAAAGGGGATGGCCTTTACCCTGCTCTGGTCAGCTGTTATCATGTAAAAATATGGAGCTGGTGATGACAGGTTTTTAGACTGTTTATGGGAAGTGATATTCCGATATCACAGGAAATCTCATGCTTTATAAATGTGGATAACTAATTCAATACTAAAAAGAAACAAAACAAAACTAGGCTGGGCCAAATGAAACATGTTTGCTATCAGACCTCTCACTATACTGATAAACCCCTATAATGTTCTCTTCCTTTGTAACCCTGGGATAAGCAACTCTTACCATGTGATCTAGCTGTTCCATCACACACTCTACAATTTCAGGCTTGCTTTCCAGCAGGTCAGGGGCAAACTTTTCATTCATCCAGGCCTAAAAAAATATATATATCACTCACAATGGAGGAAAATAACCCTATAAGTCTGTACATACCCCATGAAAATTACAGCTGTTTCAGTCAAAGAAAACTGTCTACCAGTTGGAAATACAAGTTATATTTAATAGTGGCTTTTCTATTTCTTTTAGTAGTAAAGCTGTGTTTACAAACATATTTGACGAACATTATAAAAAAATCACTGTTCGCTTCAAAAATATGTCAGTTATGATACCTGTTGCTGAGAGTAACACCATCTAGTATTCAAAATTCTAGTATTTTTACCAAGTAGCATTAACACATTTCTACTTGTTCACCTGCTATTTCCCACCAGGGGACATCAGCATCTTTCAATTTTGAGAGTCGAAGTAACACTACATCAATCTATACATCTCTTCATTCCTGAAGCTCAGAGTACTTTACAAATATTTTCATTCATCATTGTAACATTTGAGGGAAAATGGATATAGTTATCCTCATTGCATTGATGAAAAAACATATTAAATTATTTGCTAACTGCCCTAGAATATAAAAGATCACAATAGAAGTGGATATTTATATATTAAACAGTTTTGAAATAAGAGGTTAAATTCCTAATATATGACGCAGGCCCAAATGCTTGGTACATTTCAGAAACTATCAAGATTTAGAAAATTGAAATATCTACACGTGACTGAGGAAAACTACACTTATCTTTCAGTTATAGGAAATTTAGTTTTAACATAGCTCAGAATTACATGCCAGTCAGGCTCAATTTATTCTTTTTGATGTCCTTGAGTCTCTGCTTCTCCAATTATCACCATCAACAAGCCACATTATTAAATACTGTGTACTTCTACTTGAATTTTTTCAAGTGCTCAAGCTTCTGTACTAGTGTTACAGAAGTTAATCAGAAAGACAACCTGTATTTTCAAGTAGCATAAGTGAGAAAAGATGAAATTCTCATAGAGAACTTATAAAGTTTTTCTTTTTAACTGATTTTATTAAATATTAATAGGTACAAAAATATTTATAAAATACATATTAACATGAAGAACAGTGATATTAATGCCTGTGTATATATAACTTCATTAACAAATATCATCATTAGTTTAAAAGTCCCTGTGTCCTTCTCTCCTCAGATATAATCATTATTTTGAATTTAGTGTTTAATTTTCTGTAGTTTCACTACATTTGTTTGTGTCTCTATACAGTGCTTCCTAATCTTTTAATGACAGGGCATTCAAAGAAAATGATAGTGTTTATTTAGTACATTGGGATAAAATAGAGTAGATTTTGGTGGAGGGAAATCTCATTTATATTATGAAACTATGATATAATATAAAACATTAGGGGAAAATTTATATTAATATAAAACTTTCAAATAAAATCTTTTCAAAATTTTTAGTGAGAAACTTGCTTGTATTTAAATCCATGGTCTTTTTTAGATAATCAGGTTCCATGTTTGAAATGGCTACATCTGGGTCCTGATCAAAATTTTTAATGACAATCTGTTTATCACATTATGGGCTAAACTGTGCCCTCCCCTCCAATCCCCAATTCATAAGTTGAAGTTCTAATTCCTAGTACCTCAGAATGTGACTGTATTTGGAGACAGGGTTTTTAAAAAGGAGATTAAGTTAAAATGAGATCATTAGGTGGGCCCTAATCCAATATGACTGGTGTCATTTTAAGAGGAAATCTGAATGCAGACACACAGAGGGAAGACCATGTGAAGACATAGGGAGAAGACGTTCATCTACAAGCCCAAAAAAAGCCTAGGAAGAAACCAAACTGTGTCAGTACCTTGATTTCAGACTTCTAGCCTCCAGAGTTGAGAAAATAAATTTGTTCTTTAAGCCACTCAGTCTGATATGCAGCCTTAGCAAACTAATATAATCATTAAAATGAGAAACTTTGCACTGTAGGTAATAACTTTTAAATCATTTTTCATAAACATTGAAGACTATCCTATATGTGCTTTTGGAGCTGTGTTTATCAGTGGACCTTGGCAGGTTCTCCTTAGGTAATCAATGCCATGTAGCCTGAGTCTGTGTCCTGCTACAGCAGCTGTCCAGGCGGCAGACCAACTCCTTGGCTGCATTGCAAGAGAGCATCAGGCCCGAGATGTAACTCATGGTCACCCACTGCCAAGCTGAGGCTGTGCTGTCAGACCCTACTATCCTTAGACTGCCTTCCTGCTGTCACCCACAAGAGGCAATCAGCCTGGATGCTCTGGCTGCCCCAGATGGTGGAGGGTAAAATGAATCACGGAGGCATATGCAGCATACCAGTGTGTGCCATATCACCCAAGCTGGCAAGCTCTGCCTTAAATAATAGTTTTACAAGTGTTTGAACTTTACATAAATGATTTTCCAACAACTTAATTTTTGTTGTTCTGTGTTACGTTCTTGAGAGTTAGTTATCCATGCTGTTTCAGGAGTTATCTTCTACTCATTTTATTGCTGTTTCCTATTGTATGTATATTTTCCTATTGTATGTATATGCCATACATACAATTTTCCTATTGTATGTATATGCCATAATTTTTTATATAGCCTATTGTTGAAGGATATCTGGGTACTCGCAGTTTTTAACTATTGCAAGCAATGCTGTGAATATTTTGTGCATGTCTTCTGGAGTACATGTGCACATTTTCTCTAGGGTATGTACCAGGAAGTAGAATGATTGGGCCACAAGATATGTGTGCCTTTAACTTGACCAGATAATAACAAATTATTTTCCAAAATGACTGTACCAATTTACACGGCCACTACAGTATACAGGTGTGCAAACTGCTCTACATTCTTGCCAATACTTTATAATGTTCACCTTTTTCGTTTCCGCCAATCTAATGGGTATGAAGTGATATCTCATTGGGATTTAAATTATCATTTTCCTGATTACTAAAAAGGTTGAACATCTGTTTGATGTGATTCTTGGCCATCCTGGTTTCCACTTCTGGGAGAAGCCTATTAAGACTTCATTTTTCTACTGGTCTGTTTGTGAAGTTTATTTGTGTATTATGGATACTACATAACTTTTGTCAGTTACATAGTTTGCGAATATTTTCTCCCAGTTTTGTGGCATGTCTTTTCACTCTCAAGAAGGTGTAAAAAGAGTTCTTAATTTTAATGTAGTTGAATGTATCAGTTTGGTCCTTTATGCTTTGTGGTTTTTTAAACTTCCATTTAATGAATCCTTTTCTAATAAAAGCAGGGACTCTTAAACTGGGGCCCCCAGACTACTAGGTAGGCAGGTTTCAGGGTAAATTATATGAAAAATTCTGCATGGGTGGTATTATTATTTGCTGAAGAAGGACCAGAGTTTTCACCAGATTTTCAAAAAAGTCTGTGATATAAAAACAAATTAAGAATCACTGTTATACAGTAAGGATTATCATATAAGTATAATTTAAAAATTATGTTCCCTTGATTTTGTTACTCAAGATGGCATGTATGGTAGGAAAGAATGAAGAACACTAACGTAATTACTGTGAGAAAGTTCTGGAATGGGGCAGTTAAAAGGAGAAGAATAAGGCAGCAGGTGTACTGGATTAAGAGCATGTGTTTTGGAGTCAGAGACCTGGTTTATATCCTGGCTCTGCTGTCATTGTGCGACCATAGGCAAATTATATCTTTAAGCTCCAGTTTCCTCAACTGTAAAATAGAGATAACAATAATATCTACCTCACTGTGTTGTTGTAAGGATTATTACTACTCACAGCTAACATTCAGTGAGTGTTTATCATGAGTCAGACAATATGCTAAGTGCTTTATATATATTATCTCATTTAATCTACTCAAAAACTTTGTGAGGTAGCCACTATTATTAACTCCATTTTGCAGTCAAGGAAATACTTGAGACAAGCTATATAACCTGCCTAAGGTCACATAATAGACTAGCGGCATGAAGGGATTTAAATGCAGATAGTCTGAATTCCTATCTATCAGAGCTTCACAAGATAGTAATTATAAATAAAATAGTTACTGGCACATAGGAAATGCTCAAATCATAGCTATTATGACTAAAAAGAGAGATAGCCTAGGAATAATTTTAGATAAGGATTGAAAACATAGAGAACAGTTGACAGAAGAAAGTACATGGGAGAAAAAGGAATAAGACCAGTTTTCTCCTAAAAAAGGTGTTTCAGCCCTTTCTTGCTAACCCAAGTATTCTACAGGGAAATAGAGATGTTTAAGAGACTAAGGTATAAAACTTCCACGTTTCCACACAACTCCTCCGTAGTCCCTGGAAATATCAAGTAGCAAATCCTTGCTCTGTGAACTGTTCTATTAAATGTACTCAAAGCTGTCCCTTCCTGGCCCCATTTGAGGGCTTTGTGTTTAAGATGAGGTTTCTAACAGAGGCTGTCCCTGCTACTTCCTATTTCTGTGTAGATGGTAAGATCCACTCGCTCTTCTCATGAAATAAGCCTTGAATCTCATTTCTTCATTTCCTGCTTCCTGACATTTGCACAGTTTGACTAAATAAAAAGACTAAGATTGGATTCTATTTGAGATGCTTACCTGCTCCAGCCTTTCAATGAGCTCTGCAGGAGTTAGGACCACTTCCTCACTACCCCCATCGGAGTCGTGTCCCATGAGATCCAGTTCCTCTGTCATCTTCTCTGAAATTAGGAGCCTATTGAGAATAAAAGAATCCATATCCTTCAATGAGTTTTCCATTTCTTGGCAAGAATAGGGAACTAAGTGTCTGCATCTGCAACTGGGTTGTAGAGGCTCACTGGCAGTGGCTTGAGAATTCACAGGCTTGACTTTTTTTTAAATTAAGTTTATTGGGGTAACATTGGTTAATACAATTATATAATTTTCAGTTATACATTATAATTTGACATTTATATATTCTATTGTGTGATTACCACCCAAAGTCCAGTTTCTTTCAGTTACCATATATCTGATCCCCTTTACCTACTTCACCCTCCCCAACCCCCTTATATTTGAGGCTTGATTTTTCAATTCTTTGCCTCTTCCTTGAACCCTTAGATCAGGTATCAGTTAAACAAAGAGCTCACCCCTTATGTTTCCACGTACACCTTAAATTGAGCACCTATCACACCACCATGTAATAATTATTTGTCTTCCGGATTGAAGTCCTCTCCTCGGGGCCTTTGTTCACTTCAGTTCAAATATGAATCACTCATCTGCTCTGTGCCTGCCACTTCTAAGTACCTGTAACATAATTACCTGTGTAGTCCCTGAGCATAGCACAGTGCTTAACTCATAGCAGGCACTTAAAATTGTTTGGAAAACTAATCGATGCCTAATTTCGTAGAATCGCAAGACTCAGCAACATCAGACCAGTTAGTGATCCCTAAGGCGTAAGAAGGAAGGTTCCCGGAGCCTCAAGAAAACTGAGAACATATTCCTCTCGCTCCTCTCCTCTCTCGTGCCACGAGTAGAGTAGCTGTTCCCTCCCGAACACACACACACACACACACACACACACACACACACACACACACACACAGAGGCCCCACTCGGATGCTCACCTGGGCACGTGGGAGGCAGGGAGGCACTGCGAGGTAGCAGACGGTTAGGACAGGAAGCTCGTGGGGAAGCAGCTCCCGCTCTCCCAACGAGAACCCGAGAGCGTAACAATATCTTCTAGGCCTCTCGGGGACTTAACCGACCCTCCACTTCTCAGCTCCCGCGCTCCTCTTAGAAGCGTTCCGCCTAAGCATAACGTCACTGCGCACGGGCAACGCTGACCAATTACGATCCGGCGCCCCACCCCCGCTCTAAGGGGCGGGGACTCGCGTCACTGCGGCTTGTTTTCCCAGTGGGTCCGGTTTAGCCCCGCCCACCTCGACCCGCTACTCTTGTGTGCAGTTCTGGCGAACACTGCCCGGGGACCGTCGGGAGGGGGCGCCTCGTTACCATGCCTGAGAGGACGCGGCGGTGTCTGCCTCCTGGCCACCGGAGCATAAACTCTTGAGTATCCCCTGGCCAGTAGGGGGGGCCCACAGAAAAATGGACCCTGTTAAAATCAGGCCACTTCGTCTCTTGGGTCATCTTCTCCAGCCTTCTGGTCCCTTTATCTTTGCCAGGGCTTCAGCTGCGGCCACTACTTCCAGATCTAAAAACCTTTAGGCTGGTGGTTCTTAAAGCCTAGGATCGGACCACTAGCAACAGAGTCGGCTGAGAATTCGTGAGAAATGCAGATTTTTCAGGCCCACCAAGACCTGCTGAATCAAAAACTCTGGGGGTGGTTCAACAGACTCTTCAGGTGAGTCTGAAACAGGTGAGGTTGGAGAACCACTGCTTTCAGCAATGCTTCCATCTCAGCCGCTTGCCTTTCTAGGTTATTATGACATTTACTGCTTGTGCCTTCAATCTTTAATATAGGGCAAAAATATATACTATATATTTCTGCGTGTATGATGTCAGTTTTTCTCTTCTTAATCGCTGATGCTTTTCTCCCTGCTCTGCTTTCTGTGCAAAGTGTCACTTCTGGCTCCCCTAGAAATGTGTTTTCCCTATCAGTCTGAAGCCTTTTCTTTGTGGTGTTTCCTATGCCATATTGATTGATTAGAAAAAAATGTCTAGCTAATTGACAGGTCGATGGTACCTGCCTGACTGCAATCATGTTTTTAAAATAATTACAGTAGAATATACTGAGTGAGAGAGTAGGCATATTTACAGAGGGCTATTGTAGCTGGTGGACTTCAAAGAGGGATTCCAAAAGGAAGGAACCTGTGAGCTGTGTCCTACAGAATGAGTTTCGTTAATGACAAATGGTCTTTTCAAGGTCTATTTCAACTCTGTGTTTCAGCATTTTGGTAATCCAGTGGTTGTTAGTTGTGGCAGATATCTTTTCCAAAGATAGCTGCTCTGATGTAGACCTCATCTCAGTGCTCTTACAATACAGGAAGACCTTTGTAACTGCCTCCACCAAGGGAATGTGGCAGAAGTGGTGCTGTTTGAGTTCCAGAGCTAAGTCATAGAAGGTGGTGAAGTTTCTATCTTACTCTCTTTCTTCAGCCACGTCCGTGGGAGCAATGAGCTGATATGTGAGAAGTTTGGCTAATCTGCAGCTGCCATGCCGAAGGGTCCATGTGGAGATAGAGAGTGATGTCCAAGGAGCCCCAGCAGCCCCAGATGTTCTGTCCTCCAAGTGTCTGAGTTGAATGAGCCTTCAGATGATTCTAGCTCTCAGACTTTAAGCAATCAACCAGCTGTCCCGGCAGAACTCTGCCCAGATTGCAGATTTGTGAGCACAATATTGTTTTAAGCCCCTAAGATTGGGGATGGTTTATTATGCAACATTAAGTGACTGGAACATTAGTATGTGAGCACAGTTTATTCTTCTATAATTCTCATTACTACATAGCTTTTCAATGGTCTTTATTAATATTCTTTATGTATTATAGATTTGAGTCCAAGCACCAATAACATCTCTACACAAGTACTAATCACTTAGTTCTCTTACTCAGAGACTTTCTTTCTCCGGTGCCAGCTTCTTTCTCCAATCTCCCACTACAACTCTTTTAGGAAGGTGGAGGCCAGCTACTGCTTCCTAACTTAACAGAGGTGTGACCTTACACAAGTCACTTCTCTGGGCTTTGGTTGCACTGTCTGTTAAGTGAGAATAGTATGTGTGTTCCTACAGGGAAAAGGGGTAGATCAAAAATTCTGTTGGTGGGAGGTCCCTTTTTCACTTCTAAGATCATTGATTCAAACTAACACTCATCAGATAAAACCACTTTACAATAAAATGAGTTGGTAGAGAAAGGTTTCTGCTGGGTAAGGAAAGAGAATTTAAGGAGATATCCAAAGAGAATATATAGAGCTACCTGGGTGGGGAAGGCAGCTCAGACTTTTGGTGAAACTGGTGAAATGACACTGTAAAGTTCAGGAAGGTAAGAGAAAGGACAGATTATAAGTTACATTATATAGAATGAAGAGAAAAATCAGGACTACCTCGTTGATGTGTGCCCACTATCAAGAAGTTTTAAAAAATAATTACATAGCAAAAAAAAAAATGGAATGCTGTTTATTAAAATAATCACATAGGAAAGAGATTTACATAGGTTATGATAGCAAGAAGATGAAGTTTGATGGTGATGAATGAAACTATAGGAGAGAATTTGTAGGCAAGTTGTAATGGTTAAAAGAGCAAAATGAACATGCTAACATGAGTTCAGACAAGTGAAACATGAAGCTACAAACAGCAAAACTGCCCAAGTTGAAGAAGATACAGAAAATAGGAGCCTATGCAATAAAGAAAGTGAAAAGTCAATGTAATTTCCAGATATTTCTCAATGAGGAAATTAGTTGCAGTTAAAGACGCAGCAAATAGAAACAGCCAAAATATTTGTGGATAACTGTGGAAATATACATTAATATGAATGAACCTATTTTTTTCAATCACCAAGGATAAAATATAAAATATACATATCCATCAATATGGTGAAACTTTTTGGGGAAACATGCTTTTGAAATACAAGGTAATATCATCATTATTGTTTTCATATCGTCACTGCTCTTGCTCATTTGGTCAACAGCTGTTTCTTACTGTTTCCTTCCTTTGAATATCATCACATTTTGGGTCTCCTAGCCTAAGAACCAAAAAATTAAGTTTTGGGGAATGTGCTACTTAAGCAAAGTTTAATCCCCAGTTGTTCTGAATGAATGAAGATTTGACCTAAAGATGGAAAGTAAGAGGGCAACTTGGATTTTTAAGGAAGGCAGAAAAGTACTCTCGGAATATATATTTTTTATCCTCACAAGGAAAGCTATTGACTGGTGAATTTACAAGTATTTTTCTGGTTAGTGATAAAACCTATACCTGCTTATGTGGCTGAGAAAGTGGAAAAACTCAGGAGGCCAGAGCTGGGTTTGGGTCTCCCTAACAAATGTAAAATCTGGGCAATTCATGATATTCCTAATTCCTTCCCCCACCCCCCAGACTTTAGCTCCTCATCCCTTACTCAAATCTCATCTTGATTTTAAGCCTATTAAATTAACCCATATAAGTCCCCAATAAAGAAACAAACTTTTCAAATCTTTTCTAAGTTTTCAGATCATAGTTTCAACAGTTTTTACAGGTAAAGGTGAATTACGTGGCTTGTAATATTGTTTAACTAAAAAAAGAATGTCCAAACCTTTGATGCTATGTTCTCTATTTTCTTTACCTGCTCCTTTATAGGAATGTGGTTTGATTCCTTCCCTTGGTTTGGTCTTAATGTGTTGCTAGTTTCTGGCACAGACAAAAAACCTTCTACCTCCACCTCTGTATTTTGTCTTGTCATGGTTAATAGGAGCACGCTTTTCTCTCATGACTACAGAATCAGCCTTAGGAATAACAACAACAAAAAAGGTCAGTTTGCTATAGAGGGGTACTCACATCTTCTGAAAAGAAAGCTGATCCAGACACCCGGCTTCAAATTCAGCTCTAGCACAGGCTTCCCAAGCCTGGACAAAGACTTGTGGATGCCAGCTCCCCTTTTTGCCTTAACTTTGTCAATAAGGAAGCCAAGGCACTGATAACTGCCAAAGGCTGCTGCCTCCTCAAGCAAATAATAAGATGGTATTCTCTCATTCCAGGGTTACTGTTTTTATACTGTTGAGATTTTCCTTGGTTTTATCTTTACAGATAACCAACTTATAAGCTAATACCTCATTGCTCTTGCACTTAGACAGCTGCACTGAAGTAGGCTGTTGGAGAATGGAGTAAATTCCCTTTGGAGAAATAAGAGGGCATCAGGCGCTGGTGTGATTTTAGTCACTCTGAAAACAGTGCTGCTGATTATCTTGTGGTTCAGGGCTTCCTCCCTTACACTGTCTTTGTTCCAGTTGTGTTGAACTATTTAAGGACATGAGGTATTTTGTCTCCTTTCTTTGCAAGTGCTGTTTCCTCTTTCTGGGCTTCTCTCATTCCATTTAACCACCTGATAAACTCTTATTCATCCTTCAAGACTCAGCTGAAGTAACTCTTCCTCTGTGAAACCATCCTGAATATACTACCTTTTATTTAGGTCATTGTTATACCCTGTATTATTCTGATATCACATTTATCATGCTATGTTACAGTTTTAACATGTCTGTTTCTCCTATTAGATTATGAATTCCCTAAAGGTATTCTCCATATCTGTCACAGTGCCTATTCATGCACGCATTCATTTCTTAACAAATATTTCTTGAACATAGAGATTTTTGAGTATCTACTGTCAGGTCCTATGCAGGTGCTAAAGATAAAGCAGGGAATAGGAAACAGACCCTGTGATGGGAGACAGACAAAAAACAAATAACAATTCTTTGTCAGGTGGTGATAAAATAAGGTGGGTAACAGAAAATGTAGAGGTTGACATTTAAATGGTTGGAATAGGCATCTGTCTTAGTCTATTTGGGCTACTATAACAAAATACCAGAGGTTAGGTGACTTACAAACAACAGAAATTTACTTCTCACAGTCCTGGAGGCTAGGCTGTGCAAGATCATGGTGCTGACAGAATCGGTGTCTGGTGAGGGCCCCACATCCTGGTGGGCATCTTTCTACTGTAACCTCACACAGTGAAAGGGGCAAGAGAGTTTTCTGGTCCGAGGTTATAAGGGCACTAATCTCATTCACAAGGGCTCCGCCTTCATGACTTAATCTCCTCCCAAAGGCCCCACATCCTAATACTGAAAACATGTGACATAGTTTTCAGGAATAATAAATATTAGTTCCAGGAGAGGTAGATGT